TGCTCCTAATAACCTTCTTATCCTTCATATGTCAATATTCTGCAGCAGGCTACAGTCATTGAACAAACCAACACAATATGTGTTGACCTCTTGACCTCCAGTTTACATTATTTTCAGATTGGCAGGCGTAGATCTCCAACTTCATTTCCTCCAATTAAAAAAAGATACGTGTCTCCATTTTACAGGGGAAGGAACAAGACTATTTTGGACTTAATACGTATATTTTAAAATATTGTAGATTATGTCAAAAAGCAGTACAGCAATTTCAGCTGAAATACTGCTTTCCAGACTTCAGTTAAATTGGGATTTTAGGTTAGTTGTTTCATTTTGCTCTAGTTATGCTAGTAATACCTGCAATATAAATTTAGTCAAGCATGTAATTGAAAATTTGTTGTTGAGGTAAATAGTTACAGTGATCAAACACATTTGTAAAGAAAGGTAAATCAGGGATAAACGACAAAGAGAGGAAGGGAAGAGAACTAATATGTTCACACCTTAAACCCAGCCATATTCTGGTTATTTTTTGTGACCATTTATATGACATATATAGGAAATACAAGAATCTCACAATTTGTCTATTCTGTATGCATCATTCCACTGATGAGGTTTTGAAACCTGGGTCATGAGAACAAACCAGGCTGTGCTAAGCTTTAATTCTGCACCTCTAACCATTAGTTAATAGAAAATATGAAATGTAACATCTTCTCTACTTTTATAGACTAAATGTGTTAGGAACCTTTAAATAAGAATGGAAAATATTAGCTTCCATAGTTAACTTCTTCTGTAGCTTAACTTCTTATGCCTAGGAGAGTCTAATTTTAAAATTAACCTAGACTCAAATGAAATGCCCTACACACAAAGGTAGGCCAGCGCGCAGCAGAAGACTCTTGATTCGGCTTCTTCTGGCTCTTTTTTGGTGTTTACTTTTAAATAAAAATATGCATTTAAACAAGACCCTCAGAGAACAGCTATCTGCCAAAGTTATGACCAAAAGGACTCTAATTTATTAAATGCAGAATGTTCAAGGGATATTGATGATAGTTTCACATCAGACTGAGTTTGTTATTTAAGATAATTTTTGCCATGAGAAGAATCCCAAATGTGCACAGCTCGTTACAGACATGGAAAAGGCCCAACAGTACTTTTACAAGAGAGGTACCTTAGGGTTGCATCCCTGATTTTACTCTTTTTACTGCCAGGAAAACTGCTTTCATGTTCATTGCTGGATGCATCACTATGAAAGTTTGCCATGGGAAGGTTAGTACATTGCTTTTCTCAGTGGCAAGGAAACTTTCAGGTGCCATGATACACCGAAAGGGAAGCAAACTCAAACTGATATGATAGCTAGCAGAGAAGAGTCAAACCCTACCATGACAGTTTCAGACATCAAGAACTCTTAAGGCAAACCAAGGAAGAAACCAATAGCAGCTCCTGAACTCCCTCATCAGTACAAAGTACGGCTCCTCTTCAACCCTAATAAGGTCTATTCTTTTTTCACCCCTACACACATCACTCACTAAGACCAAAGCGAGTACTGCAGGTAAGGGACATGCCAGAACTTTCTGAATTGTTCACAGATCCAGTCACCGAAAAGCAGAAGAGCCACGAGCCCTCTGTGAAAACCAGTAGCACCTCCATGCCAGCGCGTGTTTGGAAGCACTACCTGTGACAGTAGGCAGCCAGGGAGCCCAGCAGCAGCAGGAGGACCAGCGCTGCCACGCAGGCCGTGATGGTGATATTCCGCATCTTCACCCGCTCGGCGTGCTGCTGCTCCCACCACTCCAGATCGCTGAACTGGCACCGCTCCCCGACGTAGCCTGTCACACAGCTGCCAAAAGGAATCGAGCACACTTTGTAACTAGCAGCGAAGGAAAAAACCCAGATCATCACTTCAGTCACCTTGTGTATTGATTTACCATTGGCAACCTCTACGGAAATACCCAGTTGAATTTAGTAGTGGTGAAGACAAAATGACTTTAAAGGAATGGCTGTCAAAACCTGTAGAATTCAATATTAAGACTTTATTTTTTTTTACTGTGAAGCTATTGAATCATCTGTAGAATTATACAGAAAGACTAAATTTCCAGATCCCAATGGTTAAAGACTAAATAAAACAATTTTCTCTTAAATCCTGCTGTGTGAGTAGTGATTCCTCAAGATTTTCCATTTAACTGTTTCCACCAGCAAATGTTCCTTTCTTTGAAACAGGCAATATAGGACTTACTTGTATTTTCAAAGTGATTTGGTTAAGGGAAGCAAATTTTAATGACTCCTTACTTTAAAATAAAAGATGAATGCAAGTGTTAAAAAACCCAACAACAACAACAAAACCACTAACTGTGTGGGTTAGAAATATCTTCAGAAATTAGTTTTAATACCAGCTACCTCTGTAAGAAGTTTGTGTTTATTTGTTTGTCTTTACCACTGTAAAATCCAACATAGAATATCTTATCAGTGCATGAAACCCTCAAATCAAAATTAATAGAAAATGAGAAATACATCAAAAAGAAGCTTAGCCTAGTTTTACTGTCTAAGGTGAGAGATATAAAAAAAATAATAAATGTGAAAAATGAAAGATCTACTCAATTCATAACAACCAGCAACATAGACTCAAATCCTTCTTCCAATTCTTACGGATCTAATGTTACTCAAGTCAAAGGAGCTAGTCAAATGAGCAAAAGAAGCAGGGTTTGACCAGAAGCAGCAGCTTTTACGTTCGATCAGCATTCATTATTAAATCAGGCACAAACTCTCTCATTCTGGCGGAAGTTAGAATGCATGTATGTTGCAAGGCAGAAAAATCCTGATTTTTTAATGCAAGATCACAATAAATTTCAAACAAGCTGGAAGATCTACTTTCTAGTGTGAGAGCTTTTATTAATTAAAATACAAATCACATTTGGCATGTGATTTTTGCTAGATATTTTTGCTAGGTAACATTTTTCCTTTGATTCAGTCTTTACTATCTTACGGCCTACATGAAGGAATGCTGCCATCTAGTGAGAATTCAGCAGCGGAAAAATTCAGCAAGGTTCACACCCAAACCCTGGCCACCAAGAACAGGGCTAAGCTTAATTTTTTAATGGCTTCACCTTCCAGAACTGAAGAATGCATACATTTGGATTCTTACAATGATCACTTACAGAAAAGAGTTGAGTCTTATTGACAATTGCTAGTAATGAGTGATGAACAGATAATTTATGGACAAACACTTCACCGTCTGCACTCAACTGAGCCCTAAGGATAACATTCAGCAACACAGACAATACAAATTTCTGTACTTACTTGCAGGCATAGTCTTGTAGATCAGAAACATAATTGCACACTCCACCATGGAGGCAGTATGACTCGTATGAAGGAGGGCACCCGACAACATCAGCTCGCACAGGGTGTGTAGAGTATTCATTGCTGACAGTAGTGGGGGACACAGTAGATTCTGAAACACAGGATTTCCCAAGGACATCTCAAACTTTTGGCTACATTGGCAACGTGGTCTTATAAAAGAATTCCAGAACTTCAAGACAGAAAACCGATAAAAATATATACTTTTGACCAATTACTTGCATTTTGCCTATTTGCTTATGCTGCTTATCAAATTTAGATCTTTACATCAAAATACTAAACATGTTTGATTCTAGATTTACAGTGAAAGACCCACAGAGGTTGGCTGCATTCTCTCTATTTAAATGTGCATGTACAGCTCTGAGAAACAATTGCACTGGCTGTCTAATTACTTAAGCTTAAATGATGCTTGCCATTTTTGCAGCTTTAGGCTATGATAAATCTCTACTTCGAATAAAGTACCAGATATACAGGTGAAGGGTGACTGTATATCCCATACTTGGATCTGAGACTGAAAACTTTTGACATGCAACTTGTCAGTCATTCTTATGCAGATTATTTCTACTCTGCTGCCATCCAGTTGATTGCATCTATATGCAACTGCAGATCACATTTTTTACTGTTTCAAGTTAGCTCAGGTACAGATAACAGCAACACTGGGGAAGCAGGGAACTCTATTGATCCAGTTCTTCAAAGGGTTCTGTAGCCTGCTTTGAATCACACACACTGTCACCTACACAGATATCTAAACCAGCTAGTTTTAAAGGCAGCTCTAATATCTTTGCACAGCATGACCTACGATGGAGACATACCCTAACAGAAAGGGAGCGCTTTCTTGCCTGCTTTGATGTTCCAGCGAATCTATAAGGCAGAATCAAACATCTACATGGCAAAGAATTTCTAGCAATATGGCTTAGCAGAAATGCACCTAATCACTCTCTCTATGGGCTCAGTTTTAGGACTCACACCAGCTTTAATGCAACATGACCGTCAGTAACATTTATTCTTTAAAATTTCATTTGCATGAGAACTGCCATGGCAGAGTCTGAATGGAAAGGGATGAGTGATTTTAGTGAACCCTAGGTGTGACTGCACTCTGGAAAAAAAAAAAAATCAGCTTGCTGGAAGAGTTTAATAGGCAAAGAATTAAAACATTGTGTTAACACACATGAAGACATGGGATCAGATTTACAGCTGAGGGATCTAGAAGGCATTTCTTGTCCTGAGTGACACCTGAAACTACTAAAAGCTTAAGTAACTGAAAAGGGAGTAGGCATCCTGATGGGTGTTCTACTTCTAAAAGCCATGATTTCCGTCTGGTTTTCTGCAGAAATAGATCTGTGATAATCATGTGAGGTTCCTCTGTCATAAGAGAGTCACTCGATCTAGAGTAAAATTCACCCCAATGAAGAGGGTTACACAAGGTAAGGTGATGAGTCACACAGCTCCATGTTTTCAGAGAATGTTGATGTCACATTGAGGCAGTGAAATGAAGGTCAAAGAGTCACTAGTGCTGAACCTTCAGGAGCTGCCTTCATTAAACTGGTAACAAGATTTTCTAAAGAGTTTCAGAGCCTTTTTGAAAAATTAGCAAACTAGCTTATTCTGAAGACATAAACAGGCCTTAAATTACGTGCAGTTCTTGTGCCAGCCTTCTGCAGAGGGAAAGAAGGCATAGAATGCTTGAAAAAATTACACAGACTGAAATCACTGCCAGAATTTTACTTCCAAGGAGCATTTACCTATGCTGTTGATTGTAAAGATCATTAAGTAGATGTGTCATTGCATTTAGGCAGTAAATGTTACCACTGAACTTTAATACAAATATTTCCAAACTAAACTCCCATCTGGTCTCCTTAGTCCACCTCAAAATAGCCTCCTGAAGCAAGCTGCTCAGTATGTCACTATACATGATTTCCTTAATTTCCAGGTATAACCACTTATGTAAGAACTCAGTTCTTAATTAAAGACCGCGTCATTTTAATTGCTCACTCCATTTACTCACTGCAACCAGTTCCAGAAGCATCATCAGCACACGAGCAAGTGAAGTTTCCTTCTGTATTTGTACAGGTTATGTTCTCTCCACAGGTGTGGGAACCCATCTTGCACTCATCAATATCTGTCACCCAAACAGTCTGCAGTTAGAAGAATGAAAGGCCTCAGAGCATCGGTTAAAAGGGCAGCGGTTGCACCAAAGACTTTTCCTCTGCAAATATGCATTCATGGAAAACCTAATGGAAAGCAACCAGCGTACTTCATATGCCAACTAATCACAAATTCCCTGCCTCACAGAGGATGCTATGCTGCTGTAGAAAATCTCTGCAGGATAGAAGAAGGAAAGGCCTCTCTGTGAAATGTAAGGAGTACAGTGGAGTTGAAGAGAAAATTTATTTGTACCAGCTGTATTCTCCTGGCATTGCTAGCCACAGCTTTCCCTCTGGATGCGTACTAGGGTACTGTGGTTGGTACTCTTGCATTAAGACAGCAGAAAGGTTTGAGAGTGGGGAGTGGCCTGGTCCAGCCTAAACAAAAAGTTTAGACAGAAGGAAAGGGTATAGAAACCTATAGGCTTGTCCAGTTTGTGTAAACACTTACATAAAGTGATCCTCTGAACTACTACGAAAAGACTCCCTGATACTACAAGAGTTTCTAGGCTCAGAGACTGCGTTAGAATCATAGAATTGTCAGGGTTGGAAGGGACCTTAAAGATCATCTAGTTCCAACCCCCCTGCCATGGGCAGGGACATCCCCCACTAGATCAGGCTGCTCAGAGCCCCACCCAGCCTCGCCTTAAAAACTTCCAGGGATGGGGCTTCCACCACCTCTCTGGGCAACCTGTGCCAGTGTCTCACCACCCTCATGGTGAAGAACTTCTTCCTAATGCCCAGTCTGAACCCATTCATCTCTAGCTTCAATCCATTCCCTCTAGTCCTATCACTACCCGACATCCTAAAAAGCCCCTCCCTAGCTTTCTTGTAGGTCCCCTTGAGATACTGGAAGGCCACAATAAGGTCTCCTCAAAATCTTCTTTTCTGCAGACTGAACAACCCAGACTCTCTCAGTCTGACTTCATAGGAGAGGTGCTCCAGCCCTCTGATCATCCTCATGGCCCTTCTCTGGACACGCTCCAGTACATCCATACAGGCTCATACGATACCTCTCACCTGCATCCTGCTGCACCCCCTCGCCCTGCCTCCACACCTCCGCTAGCAAAGCCCATGGCAGCAGCTCCTGCCAGGCTGGCACTGCATGGTGCTAAGTGCCTAAGGATTCCCCTCCAAGGTGGGAAACTTTGAAAGGGTTCATATATCAGAGTTTGGGAGCCTCTGATTAATTTCATGAACTGTCAGCAGAATATACGTGCCAGATCTACTCTAGGGAAAAAAAAACATCACAGATTTACCATCCCGATTTGTGTGAAATCATTGCTTACACCACCAGGACCTTTTCCACAGAGAAAGTAGTAGGATCTGGCCAAAAACAGTATAGAAAATTCAGAGCACTTTTAAAAGCAAAATTAGAGGAATTAAACTGTTAAACCATATTCCAAGAAATGTGATTTCAACAACACAACATGAACGCATCTTGTATTATCTCTGGATATTCTGACACATTTCTGGACACTATGCATGCATGCATCTAAAATTGAAGTAAAAAAATCACTCACCCTTTTCTGCTTTTTACAGTGCATTTCCAGTTATCAAGCACAAAATCAGTTCCATTTTTTTTAACATCATAACAACATTGCATCATTTATAAAACGCTGTGAAACTGTATCTTATTATATCCTGGACTTAAAGACTTCAAGAAGAAAATGGACTGTTTTTCAATAATAGTGTTAGGTATCACAATTGTCATACCACAAATGGCGAGAGGTCAGGGCTGCTTGAGGACATGCCTTGCAGGTGATGCTGGTTCAGCCAGAGGAGCTTATCACTTCTGTCTGCACTTCCAAACATCCTCAAAGGCATGAGCTCTGGATTTCTGACCACTGCAGGCAGTGAACCTCCTGCCTCTGAGACTTCCCACACCTTGCCCCATAATAATGATATTGTTCTTAATTTTTCAGTCACCCTTATCTGTGTCAAAGAACCAAAGGCCAGTAAAGACCGTAAGAATTGAATCAAACCTAGTGGGTTTTGAGTTAGGCTATAAAGGAAAAAGAAAAGGACAAAAAAAAAAAGCCAAGATGCTCATAAAGCTCTGAACAGACTGTTTGCTAGTCAAATACTAGGGGGCAATAGTTTTCCTGCTCCTTTATATTTACTGCTAAGATGGATTAAAAAATTAAGAAATGTGAGAAGTGAACTGGAGCTGGATGGGAAAATCAGTGGGTCTGATTATTAACAAGACTCTAAATGTACTCAAGTTGTCAGTGTCAACACCTTGAACCTCATGCCTATTAAATAGACCTTGAATTATTTGATGAGTATTATGACACACTCAATACCTGCTTTCGTTTATATTCATGGCAATGATTTCCAATAAAGCTCTGCTGCTTCACCTCCACTTTCCTCTCTCTCTTGCCGTAGCTACTAAAAAGAACTCAAACACTGAGAGGAGATATCCACTGACAACTATGGGCTTTGCATATTGATCAGTTGCTGAGGATGCCACACTTGGAACAGGAAGGAAAGAATCAAAAAGGAAGAAGTGACAAATGTCAAGTGCCCGGATGAACCACTGTTAAGATCCATGCCCCTATCAGGTTTTTCCAAAAGAACCACAACAGCTCATTTGACAGCCTCACAGCTTGATGAGAGGTTAGCCCAAAGACATGTCTCTTGCTTGCCCACCCTGCCCCAGCTTTCCAGGCATAGCACAACCCTCACACACGCCCATACCGTAGCAATGCACTCCGTCTCCAGTGTAGCCCTCCAGGCATTTACAGACATATCCCCCTTCTGTATTGATGCAGCTCGACACATTTCGATTACAGCGGTCCATATTTACAGCACACTCATCAACATCTGTGAAACAAAAGGAGATGGGACACATAGGTCCTAAAGACATCAGGTAAATCAATAAAAAGAAATGTCTACATCATGAATCTCCCTCAGACTATGCTGACATTTGTGCATCTGAAGCAAATGGGAAGAGAAGGGCTTTGTGGTCTTTTCTTGCTATGAAATTTGGCGTGGATGTTTTAAAGAGCCTAAGACAGTCAAAAAGCTACTTTCAACTGGAGGCCCAGAGGTTCCAAAAATACCACTTGCTTTAAAAAAAGTCCTGCTCAAAACTAACCTTATATTCTTAAACCCTATTTGGAGAGAAATTTTGCTTTGAAAAAGAACACATAAGCTTAAAAAAAAGTACCACAATGAAAAAAAATAACATCCATTTCACTTTCCAATGTTTTCTTCCTTTCCGTAGCAATATAGACTGCCACGAGTCTTCATGCTTAGCTGCCTAGTGGTGGATTGCTGTTTCTAATGCCTTTCTGAGTTGCCTTTATGAGACAACAAAGTGCTTCCATTTATGTTGTATGCAAGTCCAAAAACTTAAAGATCACTCTGAGCAGCGTGTCATCTCATTGTTAGAGTCTCTTTCTAGTGCTAGAAATGCAAGCAGCACTCTTATCTAAACATTACATCAGTAATACTAATTTTTAAGAGATTATTTAATGCATATTCCAAATTATACATCAACTATCATGTCTATAGACTGAACTTTTATAATTAGACAATTTTTTTAAAAAAAACATTATGTTTTTATTCCTATTATCCTTACTATTGCTTGTTAATATTAATAGGATTAGCACTCATGACTCAGGGGAAAGTAAGGCATGTGCTAATGAGTCATTTTGTCTCGCATGCTCTCTGCTCATCATCCCTTTCAAAACAAGCAAGACCTTTCTGTGATGCCTCAGGCAGTAGAGCTGCCAATGTGAGAAAAGACAGATTTTCTTCCTCTCCCATAATCTACAGTTTTCCACAAGGTTGTATTAATGTCTTTTATTACCATGGCATGATTTCCCTTTCCTGGTAAATCCTTTCAAACACTGGCACATAGCACCATCTTCCAGCAAAACACACTGTGCATTGACATCGCATTCTAGTGCAGTGCAGTCATCTTGATCTATAACATAAACAACAAAAAAATCCCACTAGATGTATTTGGAAAGATCAAAGGAGGTACTGTACACTAAGAAAAAAACAAACAGGAAAAACAAACAAACACCAACTGACGAAAAGCTAACAAGAAAATCAGAACGTACAGTCAAAGTTTGAAACATAGCTCTCCAGGGTTAATGATGACATGCCAATATAATCATTAAGGCTGTTGTCTTTGTCTGCATGGACTTGATATGTCATCTAGCATCAGTATTTCCGAATACTTTATGCAAAACCTGCTGCAAAATTTAATGATCTAGTGTCATTGAACATATATAGAATTCAATGGGTTTACTGCAATTTTGCTCTAGAATAACTTAATATACTTACAAAATCTAATAGACAGACTTTTTCAAGTGTTCCAAATTAGAAATGTTTATTCACTAGGCCTGAATAATATCTTCAAGTTTTGCTAACATAGCAAAGGAGCATGGAGATAAACAAACAAATAAACCCAGTCCTACCTGGCATAGTTGCACAGACCCAACCTCTTTTAAGAGGGTTACGGGCATAAATGCCATGAGCCTTGGCACTAAGTCTTTCTTCCCTTAAGATCTATGATTGCCTTATGTTCTACAAATCTGTCCAAAGCCTCACAGTAAATAGAAGGAAGACAATAATCAGACTCTACCTGATACCATGATTTCAGCCATCAGCAAAATGCTGTTTTTCTGCTTTTCCCCACTGTCGGTATCCTTGAATACTCCATTGCTTTGTTTGCTCTGGAGCAAGGTCTCTCGTGTTGGCATTGGCACTACCTCCTTTTGCACGGAGACACTTCCTGAAAAAGACAAGAAAGACGTGACACAACTATTTGAATTAACTAACTTTCCAATTTTCTACTGCTTGTCTGCTTTCCAATAAACATGGTGGTTTCCTTTTAAAATAAACATCAGTATCCTCCCAGACTAGCCTGCTTCTGGACTCAAATTATTCCTAAAACCACTCACTAGTGGGTTTTCTCAAGTGCAAAATGCAAACAATGCAACTCATTGCTCATAATACTTGCCAGCACTGCACACATCTCTCCTGCTGCTAATACAGCAAGGGAAAAATTAGGATGGTCAGAAAACATGCTACTGTCCCAGGATAACACACCAGTGTTTTCATTCTTCAGAGAAACTATCACAGAATCACACAGAACCTATCATTCATGTAGAGCAACGTAAATATTCTTCAGTGCTATCAGTCAGGATCCCCAAGGATTCAGGGGGGGTCTACTTTGGAACTGGAGGATTGTACCTTCCGTTGTGTTGGAAGCATCCAGAGCATGGCAGGTTTTTCCATCTTGAGTTTTCCAAAATCCTGGATGGCACGTGCAATGTGCAACTCCAAAATTATTTTCACAGATCTGATCACAGCCTCCATTCTCATACAGGCAAGGATTTGCCCCTAATGCAGAAAAAGAGGTAACTTAACAAGCTGCATCTTCAGTCAACATGTTTTAACTGTGCAGAGTTGAAGCAGTTCCAAAAAGAATTAAGACTGACAAAAACTAGAACATCCTTTTTTTGAAAAAAATAAAACCAAATGCATATAGTAAAGCATAGACATCATCACCTAGCTTCTGGCAGGAAAGTAGATTTGCAGGTTTCTGTCTAATAAATGTATCATTTTTTTCTTTATTTCCTCTATTATTCTTCCATTAATATTTAGAGTCCTCACATTCCTTCAAAGAACATTACAAGAGCATAGGAAACCTGTGATTACCTTCTTTCAATCCCAGTCTATTGAATTACTTTTTTCTGCTCAGAGGGAGACCGTTTCCAACAGAAAAACAAATTACTTGATCCCGAAACAATAAACCTTAAAAAAAAAAATCTTTCTCCATGTCCTTTGTTATTATTTGCATGTGAGACGAGGGGTGTTAATAAACTAGGATAAATAGGAATTAGAAGACTGTGGTGGCCTCATGGCAATTGATCAGTATCTATTCTTGGGCATGTTCATAAATATACAAAATCAGTTAGCATTCCTGGGACACATGCCCAGACAACACTTTCAATAAATGCCCTTCTGACTATGCAGGGCCTGTTAAAGAGCCTATTTCTGAGGAGATAATCCTGTCTCCAAGGACATTTATTCTAATGGTATCAGTGAACAAGAGGAGGCTGTAAGGGAATGACTGCTTAGTTTTTGCAGTATACCTGGTTTCGCCAAAGGATGAACTACAACCATTGATGAGGGTCTCAGCATGCTGCCTCGAAGACGTACCCTGTTTTGGCCGGTCTTCTTGTCCACCCTCACAAGTGATGGCCTAGCCCAGTCAGAAAACCAAAGGTGATCCTCAAACACTGCTACATCAAAAGGGTGGCCTACAAAGAAATTAGATTTCTCATTTCCTCAGAGGTAGAACATACACAGGAAATCACATGAACAAAAGCAGTATCTGCACACAGGACTACTTCTAACACCATAGAATAGCCATAGCCACTTCTCCACTTTGATGTCTCATGAGGAGGAGGAAGTGTCCATGAATGATGGGCCATGGGCACTTGTTACTTATACTCTTAGCAGAGAGACTATGACACTCGCCTGGCTCAGTGCAGTCTCTATACTGATTTTGACCACTAACTAAATCAAGGTCACAGGATGCTTCTACCTCAGACATCATCATTTCTTGAAGCAGCATTGGGAACAGCCTTTCAGAAGTGGAGTCCCTCCCTCCTCTGGCAGTCAGTGGCCCAGCACAGAGCTGCTGAGGTACACAGCTCATTTTGCAGTCTTCACGTAAGAAGGAGAAGAGGACCTCCTGGCACATGTTGTCCTGCATAAGTGTACCAGCACAGAGCAGCCCTGGGAGCTACAGACACTATAACCACTGTCTCTACAAGACCCAGAAGTACATACAAGTGCAATACGGTGGTCCACACGTACATATAAACATGCACAGACATTCACTAGCAAATTCCTCATAGCACAAAATTCAAGAGGGGAATTATCTTTCCTCACTTCAGACAGCTAGCAGCAGTAGGCTGTGACTCGTTAGTCACTGTTAGCCACCTAACTAACAGTAACAGCTAACACAAATCACAGGATGCAAAATATTATCCTGGTAGCTTCCTCTCTTTTCACTGATTACAAGCAGGAATCTAACACTTACATGACTAACAGTAGGTGAGAGAAATTCCACCTCAAGTTCAGAGTACAGCAATTTTTCCTCGGTAGCACAACTTTACCTACATTAGGTAAACTCAGATCCCTAGTCTGATCTCCACAGAGAAGCTCAGCAGTTCAGAATCCAAAGGGCACTTCCAGATACAAGGGCAGACATACTTATGAAGATGTTTGCAAAATTATTCTGACTCTTTTTTCTGTCATTATATAAAATTGTCATTAGTCCACACATAACCACACATTCTTTCTATACATTTAGAAATCTTATATTTTCAGGACACTCTTTGGTCAAGCTTTTTGCAATGAAAGGTGAGAATATACGTAGTACTTCCATGGATGTCCACCTGTTTCAAAGTGGGTGCTTCCTAGCTGAAGCAGGTTTTCTTTGTCCTGGCGTTACAGTCAGCATACCCACCTCACTTTGTGCCATTGCAGGCTGAGGCCCTCTGAAAGGTGTGTTTTGTAGGCACATGATGCTGCAATAAATGTTTTTGGTTTTTTGATGTACATCTCAACTAGGCGAGGTTTAATTTGAGTAATGAAATTGGGATCCCAAAATGTATTAGTTAAAAAAAAATTAAAAATAAAGCTGAGCAAATGAAGTAACAGATAAACTAGAGCCTTGGAGAAGTGCTCATATATCTTATGTATCTTATATATATCTTATATATCTTATATATATATCTTATGTCTTTGTGTCATATATCTTAAATACACATCAGAAATAAGTTGAAAAAAAACCCCGCTCCTGCATAAGAAAAATTCTAAGACACTGTTCCTAAGTGTCGAGTTTAAGACTATTTTTTAATTCTATTAGCACTTCACTACCTCTGCTGAATCATGCCTCATTGCTAGGTGTGGTTCCTAGTTTCTCTTTCCATTAAATTTGAGCAATTCTCCTCAGATCTACTGTCCCCACCCAAGCAGTTACTCACAATTTTAAGATCTATAGATTGCACTATCAAATTCCTTAACCTCTTAACTTATAAATTCATTAAGGACTAAGAATAGAAATGCAGTATCATCAGTGGAGATAGCAGGAACAGAAAAATGAATAATCACACAAACCCCTTCCACAGTGCAAACCCAACCAACTGCGTAAACAAAAGGAATGGTTGCGTTGTTCACTGCCTTGGGAGGGTGCTTACAGGCTGTTTTACTTACAGCTGAAAACGGTTGTAGCAGAGGAGCAAAAATATTTATTTTGCATGCAGCTGCACCGAATGAATTCTCAGTACAGGGCACTAGAGGGAGCAGCTGTAATAAAAATTCACGCACAGGACAACGCCTATGAAAAGATGCCACCTTCCTGTCCTCACTGTACAGCTGTCCAAGAATAGAAGCTGAATTCTGCTCTCACTAACACCATTATCAAAACATCAGCATATCAAGTCTCTCTGCCTCCCTAAATTCATACCCCTGCAGGTCTGAACTTCATCTCTTTCACTTCTTGCCACACAGGTGTCAATGTCCTTTTCTCCCACCTCCAAACAGTCATACCATTGCTTCAAGCTTTTCCCCTATCTGTATTTCTCCAGCATTCCCAGCTCTACTTCTCTGTTTTATTGCCGTAAGACATTTTCTCACACCTTATGGAGAAACAAAATGAAACTTTCAACAGGCTTCATGTGCGTTCTTTGAAGATCAATTGCAAGGTGGAGCACAGAGCAGAATACATGCCATGGGGGAAAAGAGAGCAATGCTTGAAAGTCACTCTGGTCAGGGCTTTTGATGTCTTATGAACTGCAGAACGCTACTCCCTCCAAGACCTCACTCTGCTCACCTTCAAACAAGTGATAGGGCATCTGTCTTAGGAAAAGAACATGAGCCTTCGCAGAGCACAGACTAGAAGAGCAGCTGCTTAACAGAGTAACCATAAAGCCTTTACCCATGGCAGTCATAGTGTTGAGCCAAGAGTCTTCATTCTGTCCATGTTTTGTATGCACATCTGCAAAATTGTCCCCAGACAGATATCATGCACAAAGGGAATTGTTCTTTCTAGAAACTGATTTACTGTGTGTGAGATTCTTAAACACGTGTTTTACTTTAGATGTGGTACATCAGTTCTTTTCTCTTGCTCCAAAACAACACAGTTACATGTCAAACAACAGAAATCCCATCCGTAACAACTACCAGCATATTGTATAAATCATTTTTGTGTTCAGAGTCTATTGTGTATTTAAAACCATCCTACTGGTCAAAACTGCATAGACGCAGTTTTGTTGCTCAAGGACTTTAATCGCCAAGATTAATTCTCTTCCAGCCTCTGTCAATATAATTCACTGGTGTAATAAACAGTGCAAGATCTGAATTACACTAAGCAGCCATGCACAAAGCAAGCAAACCATATTTTTAACATTTTCCTTATTTTTGTTTTTCTGTGAAGGCAGAGAAGTTCTCTGAGCAACGCAAAGTGGCTGATTAGTAAAAGTAGAGTGTTAGAAAGATGTTCTTTTGCTAAAATGAGCAAATAGAAGTCAAGTGGGTAAGAGAACAACAAATAACTGAGTGATGACATTAACCTCAACATAGAGATGCACAGGTTACGAAGAACAGCTGCTGACAGGTAATTCACATGCACATATGCAGATACACAGGCACATTGACAAACAGCAGTAGGTGATTATCAACCCCAAAGCCTCACCTACATCATTCTGTGCAAGAATTCGACGACCAGAACCATCCAGGTTTGCACTCTCAACCACCGACTGCTTAGCATCACACCAGTACAGTTTGCCAGTTAAGTAGTCGAGAGCTATTCCACTGGGCCACACCAGACCGGTGCTGGCTATAACCCGGCGATCAATGCCGTCTAATGAAGAGCTGTCAATCCGGGGATTGACCCCCATGTCAGTCCAGAATAATCTCCTTCAGAAAACAAAGTGCATACAGGAAATCAGTGAGTAAATGTTTGTCCTCCTCTCCGTGGAGTTCTTTCAAAGCAGAAAGATCAGATCAGAGCAATACAGGCCTGAGGCACATGAGGAAAAGTGCACACTTCAAGCAAATATATTGGCTGCTCATCTTTTCACACTTGCCATAAGACTCTAGGTGATTGCACTGGGACTTATGCAGAATCCCCACTCTTGTCACAAAATCTTTGAGAAACAGCTCCTGCCTATGCTAACTGCCAACTCTCTGTGTCTGTTTTTTGCATTTTCCACGTGATTGCTGACAGCAATTTGGTGAGTGCAGACAACAGAAGACAATGCGTTAGCTAGCCCCTTGTCTAAACAGAGGTGTTATAATGCAACAAATGGAACCAAAATTACCCACTCCCTATGGAAAGCAAGCAAGAGTCTTCAGGCTATTTTGTGGTTTGTTGTTTTTTTTAAATAAACCAATATCAGGCCTAGTCTCTTTTCTTCTTTTAGTAAAGTCATGATTCTCAGGGTCTCCCTCTGGAGTCCCGAGTGTTACTCCCTGAGTGTGTACTATTTTTCAATGAACAGACAGTACTAGATAGCAGCTCAAACTGAGGATAATCAAACCCACAAATTACTTCCGTAGTTTGGACTCCAGTCTTCCCAGGCATCAGGTGGCTTGGTTAGGTTTACTGGAATAACCCACATATTCATTTAGTTTTATCTGCATGAGCAGTTTTGACAATGCAGGGATCAATATTTTCAATAGCCTTAATCGTGTCTCAGATCCCTCTTTAATGCTGACTTTACAACTATGGACAATGCTATAACGCCTGCTACTCCTTTCACTTTCTAATACGTAAGGTTTTAGCCATGTTTCCTCCTCCCTTTCCCCCTTGTAACCTTTGCCTCTACCAATAACTCTAATAAACAATCTACCTGAAAACTACCCATTCTTAAAAGTTTTCTGCAAAATGTCTATATCATATGCAGCCTCCACCAAAACATTATTTCAGGATTTTTATGTCCAGAGTGAAACTAACAGAACACCCTCTCCAACTTAGCCTCATTACTTCATTCACTAGTACTTAGTTATAGCAAGATACGAGCACCAAAGGAAAACCTCAAAACAATAGATTTAAAATCATCCTACTACAAGCGTATTGACTGAAATCCATGGGGCTTTGCAACTGATTAAAATGGCCAGAATTTCATAAAGAGTTTAAACACTCAAAACTACTGCAATCATCTCAGCACTAGATAGGAAGATATAAGGTGCATTTAAATCAAAGGATCTCCACAACAGTAGGTTCAGTTTAGTTTCCTCAGAAGCTGAAACATGGCCAAAAGAATCCTTTGTAAGCACCGTTGCTTAAAATGCTAACACATTGCTAACAGATATGGAACCATCAAAGTTTGTAATGAGGTGATTACAAATGTCAAGGCAACTTCAGTTGGTTGTGGTTTTTTTGGCTTAAACTGCATACAGTATCTTTAATGTTTCTGGTATTTTTTCAAAATCTGCACAAGAAATGAACATGTCCCAATTCACAAAAGAAACGCAGCGATAAAATATTGAGGATCACACAACTGTGCAAAGCAATGACTATCCTAACATGAAACTAATACCATTTTTGACTGTGAGAAGGACAAGGCTGGCATGCTCATTTTTAAAACACCTCCCTAAGTATTACACAATTAACCACGTTTATCTTTCCTTACTTAGCAAACGGGTGAATGGCAATCCCTCGGGGCTGGGAGATATCCTCCCAGATGATCATTTTTCTTTGCATTCCATTCAGATTGCTTCTTTCAACGCATGCCTTCCTGCAACACACACAGCACTGTTAGGTTCTCCTTGTTATCTTTTAAATTACCTTCTCAGGCAGAGCATATTAATTTTTTTGCATTGGTTTAGTTTAGCACAAAACTGTAATAAATAACTTTACAATGCTAGGAAATAATCCTGCCAATGTGGGATGTCTAGTTGTTTTATCAACAAGTAATTCATGTTACAGCCTCATTATCTGGTCAAGGGCATGATGATAAACTACCTGCTGCTTTGCCAGATACATGAAGCTCTCCTTTTCTGGGCAAATAATGAGTTGGAAGTATGTTTGCTAAGAGGTAAATGTTAGCTTTAAAGGGAGCCAGGAGAAAAAAAACCTCCTAACTCAATGGTATTATCAAATATATAAAGAATTTTGTTAAAGCCTCTTTCATCCAGGATTCACCAAGCATTTTACATGCTATGTCTATTTTAGAGGAAAAAATGAAGCTAAGGCCCTACAATCCTTTAAAAAATCTATGGCAGAGTCAAGTATAGAATCTAAATTGCCAGTCTCCCAACCTGATTTTTTTTTTCCCCGGAAAACTGTACTAATTGCTACAAACTTCACCTTGCCAAACAAATACCAGGTTCTACCGGAAAGCAAGGCTGCAGCCTTCCATGCCTAAGTGAACCTGCAAAGAAAGGTCACACAAAGGTGGAAGGAGAAATACATGCATGCAAATGTGGAGCACAGCAGGTAAATGCCCTGAGTGAGAAGGAAGTGGCAGATACAAATTCATAGCTTTACCCTTGTCTCTCATATTACAGAGACAAGCACGGCAATTTCCCATTTCACAAGAAACACTCAAATATTTATACAAGAGCTCAAATGTATAGACAAGATTGTACCTAATAGCAAGGAATGGATTAGCAGCATATTTTAAAAAGGCTAAGGAGAGTGATCTGGACATTTGAAATCACTATTTATTGACTAATAAATTACAGGTCATACTGAAACTTCATGACTGCTCTTCAAGGAGCAATCATTATATGTCCTGATCGGTCACTGCCTTTTCTCCAAAGGTCTATTTCATTTCACTCTGCATGTAAGGTTAGGTAACAGCTGAAATGTGAAGTCATATGGTCTGCCAGTAGTCATTCCTCTTTTATCAGAGATTATCGGTAAAGACTCTCCATTAGCTTAAAGTGGAATGATTCTAGCTGTTAACAGTGTTGACATCTGCCCAAGATGTGTTTGGTGTAGTAATACTCATTATTTATATATACATAAAGATGTACCTATATATACACACATGCAGTGTATGTATATAAATACAAGCATATACATATATGTATATTCACATGTGCATGTGCACATATGTATATATGGAATACATGCTTTGGACTCCTTGCAACTGAGTCCAAACCCTTGCTTCTTGGAAAGACAAAGATAAAAATACAGTAGCAGGCTTGAAGCGGACTTCTAGCATTTCAATTTTAAAGAACCTTCCAACTGTATATGCTTGAGATTACAGCTACTCAATCAAAATGTGTAGCATTACTGAATTTAGAGTGATATCTCAGCTATTTCTGTATCACCAGTCATTTATTCCAAATATTTTATGGCATGCTTCAACATAAATGCACTGTGGAGCATGTACCCTCTGTCTGTCCAATACAATTTACGGTTAATCCAGTCCACAGCAAGGCCTTCAGGTATATCTGTAGCTTCATGAATAACTTTTTCACGATTTGAGCCATCTTGATTTGCTCGTTCTATCCATTTCAGGGCAGTGTGGGCAAAGTAAATCTGGAAGAAATAACAGATGAGGCGTTATTAGTTCCCATCTCACTTTCTGCTCCATTTCCCTTGTCTAATAGTTCCATGTCTAAAATAACTTTTTCATCTTGAAGGTTCCCTGAACTGCTTATTTACAAAAAGCTGCACAGGTAACCTCTGATCCCTGATCAAACAAAAAGGCACTTATCCTTCAACCAGGATGACTTCTGCAGCCAGCTTGTGCTTAGCTGTAAATCCTGGTTGCCCTATATACAGCCCTCTGAATATCCTGTGGTTTTGTTTCAGCGAGCAGCTACCTTGCATGAAACACAAGTTGATGAAGTAAAAGCAGGAGCAGGCAAAAGATGTTACCATTTCACTGGCTACTCACCTTAAAATTCTCCCCACTCTCCACTTTTTATGTGTGTCAAGTAGCTGAGAAGGGAAAAGGAGTTATGTAATTCTTCTACTATTTTCCTCTTTCAGCCTGCTCTTATCTTAATTTTTTTACCAGGTGTCTATTCAGTAAGGATCTAACATTTCCAGAACAGGCTTCTCACTTTGGGGTCAAAATAAAAGTTCCCTTCTAGTGGGAAAATCAGGCTTGTGTTTTCCAAGCATGGAGGGAAAAAAAAGAATTTTACTTGTATTTTATATCCAGACGGAGCCAAACACTGCACAGCAGAACCGTTTGCAAAGCAACACTAAGGCTTTCTTTGCAAACGGTAACAACAAAATGAATAACTTAACTTTGACCCTAATTATGAGGCCAAACAAAGCAGAAGAGAGGCCTCTGGCATTAAACCAGCTAATTAGGTTATGATGGAAGCCCAGAGCAATGCCGAGCTCCTTGACCTCGCACCTTGGTTCCATGTCGCCAGGACCAGACCACTGCAGCCTGTCCAGCCCTGCTGCTCTTCACCCAGCTCTGTGCTGCCCTTCCTGCCATCACACAGGGCTCCCAGCAGAAGCGGCACGAGAGTGAGCACCCTGTGACACCGGTGAGGCTGATTTACATTCGGCGCAGGGCAGAACAACTGTGCTAGTGCTGCCTATTTCAGGAGCAAGTGGCAGCGTTCCAGCAGCGCCTGGAACGATCCTCCAGTAACGTGGATCTGGTAACATTCGCATTTGTTTAGCTCTGTCTGTCCAGGCCTTGAGAAGTTTCCAGCAACTTAATTGAGCTCCTCGTTAGCTTTCACTGTACCATCCGTTATCTTTTTGTAGCACTTTTATAGTGTAAATAAGTCTCACCACGGGAAAAAAATAACTCTCTGCAAAGCACAGCTGAACTCCTGTTTTTCCTAGCTCTTCAGGCAAGGAGTAGGGCACTGGGATATGGCCACACAGAAGAACAGTTCTTTAAATAAAGACAACTCAGATTTCAACAGCAATATCTTCTAACATGATTAATACATTTTAGAAGAGCAATAATTCCAGCAAGAGTTCATTTGTTTTGTTCTGTAATGTCAGGACATGGGAAGTACTACTTACTAAGATTATTCCTACATTTAACATGGATCATGGGACAGAGCTGTACAGGAAAAAAAAAAAAAAAAAAAAAAAGGATGCCATTGCTTTTACAGTAAAAGAAACAAAATACTTTTCCAGAAAACAGTACTGAAGTCTTAAGGGAGAAAACTACCAATTATTCAAAAGTTCTTTGAAATTACAGTAATGCCTGAGACAAATTTAGGAATCCAAATTCTCTGTGAATTAGCCATGTCAATGTAGAAAGCACATTCAATCAGTAAGGAAAGAACGAAACTCCTCTTTTGCATCCTATACCAGTTGTGCTCCTTGACAGGCAACAGAAAAACGAGCAACACAACGTGTAATCTGGATCACTGACAGCAGAAAGTCCAATCCATTTGTCCTTGCAACACTTCAAAATCCTCTCATTTTTAATGCCTCACCTTATTTTCCACCGGGTCAGAGTCCAGTGCTAAGACTGTTCCCATCTGCCAGTCAAGTAAACTTGCGTAATCTGCTCCATCAAAACTGATCTGGCGGATATCTTGGCCATTTGCAAATAACAAAAATGGCTTAGGACCTGTTGAGGAAAATTTGCACATATGTTAATTCCACTAGGTTCAAAGTGATCTCTAGCTTGCATTACTACCTAATTAACATTGTAGGTAAGTAATGGTAGAAGACAAAATGAGGAACAGAAGCACAAAGAAACTGAGTCTTTTCTCTTACATTACATTTGCCTCAGAAATCAAAAGATAAGGTTGAATACAGATTTTCAGCATCAGTGCCTTGTCCAAGATCAGCCTCAAAAATTGTGATAAGGGCAGTCACTACGCCCTCTGCATTTCACATTGAGTGACGTGGCCTCAAGACAATCTTCATTCTGCATTTTATAGCATCACCATAAATGCTGAAAAACTTGACTTTTCGCACATGAGAAGTCTTTATTGTAAAAGCAAGAAAAATGCCATCCTCCAAAAAATAAAGCTTTTCCTCTATTCTGGAAACAAATCACAAACTGCTCACCAGGGTCTGTCCTTTTCTTAGAAAAAAACAGAAGGGTCTGTAATCCAAACATGCACATCAAATACCTGGGCTTCCTGGGGCCAGCAGGGGAGAAATATTCTTGTAGAGAAGGTCCTTCAACAGAATATTTCCTGCCCTGTTCTCCGAATGTAGACACCTTAGCCCCAACTCTGTAACACTGGGCAGAAACTGCATCCACATTTATGTGAAGGCACAAACCCCTGAATACTGCAGACAGACCTCTGCAGTACAGGAGCCCAGAGTGAAATGCAGAAGTAGGATAATAGACTGACTCATCTGTGAGGGAGACTGAACCATATACTGGTTCTTGTTCTGGTGTATTTCCAAAATAGGTTACTATTCCAAACACCTAATACTTCACAAAGTAACCTAAAAACCAGTCAAAAATGGATCACAATTATGCAATCCTTTTTAAAGGACTCTAATTTTTTTTCTTTTATTGGTAGAAAAATGCAGGCATACCAAGATACTGACCTATAGCAGTGCAGTGCTTTCTATCTCGCTGAAGCTTATATCCAGGAAAACAAGCACACTCCCAGGAGGATGGACTTAAAGAAGAACATATCTGACTACAGCCACCATTGTCTGGAGATGTACAACCTTAAACAGAATATTTGAAAAACTTAATTTTGCCATTCTAATTAAAACAATAAACAACAAAATCAGAGGTGTAAGCAAGAGAATGATTCATTCTGCTTAGGATTTCTGCAGTGCAAAGTATCTCAGTGGCTGATAGGTTTACAAAAAGGCCTCCTGCTGATAGCAGAAGTCTAGTGAAGTGAAAGCAAGTTAGTAGTAACTTCTTCCAGAGCTTTTCCTGAAAATTTGTAACAAAGGTGGGAGGCTGGGATATATGACGAGAACTTCCATGTGTTTGTTATTTCGGAGAACTTGTTCTCCCACACAAATCTCATCCCATCTACAACAGAGTAATAAATTTTACCAGACTTTGCAAGCCATGCAAAGAAACAGAAGTTAATGAGGTTAGGATGGTGAATTAATACCTTCTGACATAGCAAGCCAAGATTTCATATGAAAATTCTTTCTTCTTGGGGCTGTACAATGGTTACAGCCTCAATGCCAACCCAAGCATACTCAGTGGAGTGTCCCTAGTAAAACAGTAACATTGACTGAAGCTATGGATACAGTAGAGTCCATGACACATAATGTATGTAAAAGGGAAAGGGAATTTTTCAAGGTGTAAGGTTGGCATTAATAGAGTTATCTTGATCACTAACACTGAAAAGATATAGTTGAAAAGCAACAGTCCCCTGAGTTTGGAAAGCTTGCTGGAATGGGGTATGACAGATAAGTGGGCGTAGCAGCTTCAATATTCTGAATGCAAACATTCAAGCTGTGGGCAATTAGATGAAAATGCTGTAAATTAGAGTGACTCTGAACCTGCACAATGTCAATAAAGTCATATTCAGATTTCACTCAAGCCCTGATTTTGTACCCATATTTTCATTCAAATGTAAATTTTATCTGTCTTCTGCAACAAACATCTGGTAGGTGTCTTGATCTTTGCTGACAGCAAAAGAATTTGACCTGCAAATGTTGGATGTTGCTATTTAGAAATATCTACTAAAAATTGAAGACAAATATTGCTCTCCCCAGCACTCAAAGCGCCTGAAGTTCCATTGCCTCCTATCTTGTACAATCATTTACTTCTGTGAAAAGTCAGTGTAAAATTTACTTCTGGTGCTCATTGCCAAGAATAAACAGAGTTTGGCAGTCACTACAGCTAGAAAAACTGTTACTTACCTGTGCATGCTTTGCCGTCCACTTTGAGCACAGATCCTTCAGGACAAAAGCAAACAGGCCCTTTAGATGTTTGAAGGCAACCATGGCTACATTCGGTGTCATTGCTTGTACAGGAAACTAGCTCTACAGTAATTTAAAGAGAAAAGAAACCTTAAATTATGATAATTTTTTTTAATAAGCCCCCAAAAGAGATGTTAACACTTTCTTCAACAGCAAAAGAAAGAAAAAAGAAAAAAACGTGATGTTGAGAGCACAACACTTCTATGGTCTTTCTAGGGTTTGTTTTGGTTTGCTTTCATTAAAAAAAAAAAAAATAATTTCATACCATCTCATAATTATAGTAAAGAAGAAAGCCAAAACTGCTGGATCCTTAAGCCATTATACTGAACGGCTTTAAATTTTCCAAAACTGTATGAAGATGTGTTATCAAAATAGAAATAATTTAGAAAAGGTGGTGGTTTTTTAACATTCCATGAAAAATAAATCAGTAGAAAACTACAAGAAAGTTATACTGAAAGAATAAGCAGAATGAGGAAAAATTACTCTCCTAATGCTCCAAGGGTTACAGAGCTAGAATCAATGAAAACGGGAGATGAACCTTCCAGAAATAAAGCTATGACCCTTAGTGGCAATTTTTGAAGCTGTAGGGGGCAAAACCATCTGAGGACCTGGCAATAGCTTTTCTTTACTTTCCATTATAATTGTTGGTGTGCTAACATTTTTTTGAGTACTTCTTTAATGCAATTTCGCAGGATATGCTCATTCCACTTTCCATATTGCAGCACTGTATCTCTTTGTGCCAACTCCGGCGTCATATGGCAACTTCCTCTGCAAGACTGGAACTAATGCAAGTTTTCCACAGCTGCTTCACTGGATCAACTGCATACACTGGCTTAAATGGTGCATAGCTGTTGCAAATATTGCTCCTCCATGGCAATTGCACTCCAGACCAGATTGTTCTACCCCCTTGAGCAGTGAAGAGGGTCAAGAAACTGGTTTTGTGTTTCTTTCTGATCAGAGCTTGTGGCCTTAAATGAAGAGCTTTGCAAAGGACTTGGAGGACAAAGCATCAAACTGTCTGGTCAACATGTGAGCTTCTCACCTTGCAGCTCTTCCTCTTTCTCTCAAGTTGTGTAGCTGGTGACATATCTTGCCTTGTGGTGCAGTAGTTAAGAAGTCATACTGTTCATGCAGAATCCCTAGCCTGTGTTAGGAAAACATTATTTTCTGTCTAATTTGAGCCACTCAAAACGAAGGTATATAGTTCAAGCTAGTCATCCAGAGTAGGACTGAGTTGCACAGTGTCTAGGTGTTATTTTGGACACAAAAGGATATCACACATCTCAATAGCCTCTGGCTGCAGGTCTGCCATTGGTCTTCTGTCACATCCAGCTGCCTTCTCAAGCTGCCACACACCCTCTGGACCCCCATGTTTGCATCACTGAATCCTGCTCCTGACTCCCTCTTATTAGAGAGGGAGAAGTGACTCTTGGAGGTCTAAAACAGATAGATTGACTGCTGGAGTCTAACAGACTCTATGGCTACATTTACTCTCTAGTAGTGATATTTAATACACCTTATGTCCTGAATCTTCCATGGTCCAGACTGCATTCATTGGTGTGCACTGGCACTTCTACCTGGGGCATATACCAATGTTTTATTTCCACCGAAATGAGGTAGAAGAACCTTTGTCTGTGTCTAAATTTCACTTCATTATGAATTTCCCTTTCATTACGAAATACGAAAGCAACTGGGAGTATCCCCAGACCTTAGACCTGGGATTTAACTCATGGTTTATGTTCTCAATTTACTTCAGAAATGCTTAATTCATCTGTAGGTTGAATATACACAGTGCTGCATAAAGGGAGAAGAAAACCTTTCACCTCTGACTCTCACTATGGCTAAAGCTTAATGACAGGAAGATCTTTGGTTTTTTCCTACACTTCCCTGTGTTCTCTACATTTAGTTTCTTCACATTTATCCAGCTTCAGAGAGCTTCCTGCTTTACATGCCTATGTTATATGGATAAGTTCTCTCACGCATAGTTCTTATACACAACTGAACTGATAAAAGGAAAAAAAACAAACCACAAGTACAGCAGATCCCCAGAATAAACAACTTTATGAGTAGTGTGTGTCTTACTTGTTGTAAACACATGCATATGCATTTAATTTCCTTAATGTCTTGCACATTAGCAATGCTATCAACCCTAATCTGAAGAGAGAAACGATGATGCTGTAAGCTTCTCCTTCAGAGACTGCAAATTCTTAGGCAAGATAACAACACAGAGCCAAATTCAGAAACTGCATTTAAAAAGATGTAACTGCTCATCCATCTGGAATGTGTAACAGAGACTAATCTGGGCGAAGAGGTCTCTCTGGAGATCCGATTTTTAAATTTTTTTTCCTCCTGAAGAGGCTTACTTGATTATTCATGTTTAACTTAAATATCCTTAAAGATGATATCTGAATTTGTTTCACTCAGTTTATGCTGTTCCTACTTACATAGTAAAGGATTGGAAACGAGCAATACAAGGCATAAAACTTCCAGTGCTTCCAGCATTAAAGGTGGATTCTCCCCAGTACGACATTCAAAGTGTTTATGTATTCTTGCTGCTTACCATGACATGTTTTCCTATCAGGCAACAGAGCAAAACCTCTTGGGCAGGTGCAGTAGTAGGAACCAGGGATGTTCACACAGCCCAAAGTACAGCCATGATTCCAGAAGCCACATTCATTGATATCTGCCAGCAGAAGCACTTGTTATGTCAGAATAATGTCATCAACCAGCATCAGGGCATTAGATTAATGAAAGAAACTAGAAGTTTGCAAGAAATACCTCTTTTCCCCATTCATTTTACAAAAATATTTTGGTCCTAGTAAATGATAAAATTCAAATAAGCTTTAAAAACCTTCTAGCGAAACTTACTCATGCAGCATAGGTGCCTAGAAGAATTTCAAAAGTAAGCCTTTCCATACAGATTCCAGTGTCAGTTAAATTCTGTGTGCACCCGAAAAATGTACAGTAGACGCTTTCTTCAGACAAAAAATTCTTTTAAAAAATTTGACTCCAGCATGACTTAAGTAAAATTCTCATGGCACAGGTACAATTTAGAAGTTAAAATTCAAAAAGCAGTTCTGGTCAATTTCCTCATAACTGGATGGCTGCTGCTCAGGCAGGTCTGTAAATCTTGTAAACTAGGAATGTTGATGTCTTTATGTCTTTTCACATCTGGTCATGTAGTGAAAAAGATGTTTCTAAAAGTGATATGTTAACAATTATTAATAGTAATGTGAGATTTCTATTAAAATATTTAGAAGCATGTTAAGAATTTGTGTCTTTTTTGATCGTGGGACTTAAGACACTGTCTTGTTGCAGGACTTTCAATGTTTCACCTACAACCATGTCTACTTATCTGAAGCTCCTTTAACTACTCAGGTTAAGACCAAAATTTCTTGCAAGAATAGCACTTGCAACACTTTCACAGGTCTTCCTTTACACTGTTTCAGAATCTAGAAGAATACAAAACTCAAATGGTATAACTCAAATTTTTAAGACCTCAGAGTGTATTTGCATACTCAGGATATGAGTGAAGTAAAGGAACAGGAGAATTTTTTCATGTGAAAAAAGCTGATGGGAGAATCATGTATTACCTTCACAAAACTGTTTATTTCGACTTAAAATAAAGCCACTTGAACATTTGCACCAATGGGTCCTTGAGTCTGGCCTGCAGATTCTTCTTCTGCACTTTTCTTTGTTCAGATCACAGATTCCTTTTTCTGGAAGAACAAATATAGTGTAAATGTAATGGAGTTCTTATCCCATCAATCTTCAAGGAGAAATTGTTTTGAACAAAGATGCTCAGTGATGTGTTGTCTTTTCCAGTGCTACTTGCTCAACTCAAGGAACTTCTCAGTAATAGAGAATAATTTCTGTTATTTTCTCTTGGCAAAATCAGGCCCAAAAGTCACTATAAAAATGAAAGTACTTGGAAGACTGAGAGTAGGTCTGTGAAAATAATCATTTCTGGCTCCATGTCAGCACAAGCTGATCTAAAGAGAGCCTGAAGTAGAGGATGGTTTAGTCTGGGTGCATACCTACAGTGACTATGAAAGTGAAAACTCTGTGTAGCAGGCTTCATATATTGGCTGAGTCATTGCTCTCAAACAGTTGTGGTCAACGGCTTGATGTTCAAGAGGACACCAGTGATAAGTGGCACTCCTCAGGGTTTGGTTCCAGGACCAGTGCTGTCTAACATTTTTATCCACGACACGGACAGTGGGATTGAGTGCACTCTCAGCAAGTTTGCTGATGACACAGAGCTGTGTGGTGCAGAGGGACCTTGACAGGCTAGAGAGGTGGGCACGTGTAAACCTCATGAAGTTCAATAAGGCCTAGTGCAGGGTCCCGCATATGGGTCAGGGCAACCCCCGGTATCAATACAGGCTGAGAGATGAAGGGATTGAGAACAGCCCTGCAGAGGACTGGGGTGTTGGTAGATGAAAAACTGAGCATGAGCTAGCAATGTGTGCTCACAGCCCAGAAAGCCAATCTCATCCTGGGCCTCATCCAAAGAAGTGTGGCCAGCCGGTAAAGAGAGGTGATTCTACTCCTCCGCTCTGCTCTTGTGAGACCCCACCTGCAGTCCTATGCTCAGCTCTGGGACCCCCAGCATAAGAAGGACACGGAGCTGCTCGAGCAAGTCTAAATGAGGGGCACAAAGTTGATCAGAGGGTTGGGAGCATCTCCCCTATGAGTACAGGATGAAAGAGTTGGGGTTATTCAGTGTGAAGAAGAGAAGGTTCTGGGGAGACCTTACAGCAGCCTTCCAGTCTTTAAAGGGGCCTACAGGAAGGAAAGGGAGGGACTCGCTATAAGAGAGTGTAGTGATAGGACAAGAGGTAACAGTTTCAAACAGAAAAAGGGTAGATTTAGACGAGATATTAGGAAGAAATTCTTGCAAGGGTGGTGAGACGCTGGAACAGGTTGCCCAGTAAAGCTGTGGATGACCCCTCCATGGAAATGTTCAAGATCAGGTTGGGCGGGAGTTTGAGCAATCTGCTCTAGTGGATGGTGTTCCTGCCTATGGCAGGGAAATTGGAACTAGCTGATTTTTAAGGTCTCTTCCAATACAAACCATTCTATGATTCAGAGGCTGCCAGTCCTGCATAGTACTATACATTACCAGGCTCTGTAGAACACTTAGAAAGAGAATCACAGAATTGCCTAGATTAGCAAAGACCTTTAAGATCAATAAGCCCAACCATCAACCCAACACTGATAAGTCCTCATCTAAACCATATCCCTAAGCACAAGGTCTACCTGACTCATAAATACCTGCAGGGACAGGGACTCCGTCAGTGCCCTGAGCAACCTGTTCCAATGTCTGATAACCCTTCCAGTAAAGAAATTCTTCATAATATCGAATCTAAACTTCGCTTGGCACGACTTGAGGCCATTTCCTCTTGTCCTATCACTTGTTACTTGGTTGAACAGATCGATCCCCAGACAGCAATCCTGTTCCAGACAGCAATCCTGTTTTCCCCAGCCTGCACATCACCGCAGGTCAAAAGGACAAGCATAAGAGGTCCTCCAGCCCTGGGAGACAACCTCAGTCCAGCCACATCTCAACACAAACACAGAGACACTCGTTTGTGCTCAGGGAGGGGCTGCACTGGAGTGAGCGAGAGCCCTCCTACAACAGTGAGAGACTGAGGTATGGAGGGAGGCAGGCTGGGAGGTGCTGGCAGGCAGTGTCTCCTGCAGCCTACTGGGTGCTGGCTTGCCCTTCCCCTTCCCCGGGGGGTCCCCACACACCCTGACCACTGTGCCCCTACATCACATCCCTCCCTGGGGCCAGTCTGTGGCCGGGGTGAGCCATGTAGAGCCACAGGTGAGGCAGAGATGTGCTGATTTGAAATGAATGGTGACTAAGTAATGAATCACAAAATTTTTAAGGTAATCTTTTCTGGAAGAACAACCTTTACAAACTATACTTTCTAGTCAATTTGGTTTTTGTGGGGTTTTTTCCCCTCCCACCACCTCTTTTATATGGAAATGGATATTCTCAGTAATACCCTGATGCTGGTATGTTACACTTGAAGGAAACACAACAGAATTCCTCAGAAAAAAAATTCTGATTCTACTGAACATCATTAATCTGCCAGAGAATATACTTTAAAAAATTCCAAAGGCAGTCTCTGAGATTTTACGGTAATTAAGGTATTTTATGAGCCATTAATACAAGTGCGAAGAACATTCCAGCAGGCATTTATAAATGCACATATCATCAAATCTAGGGTTAGCTGTCAAAGAGAGCTGAGATAAATTAGAGGCCATCTTCCAGATACTGCCATACTGAAGTTGTGGGGGGTTACAGCAAACCCGTAGCTGAATAAGATTCTTCTGTGTCCTTATTGGCTCTGACCAATCTAGGGAAGTCTTTTGAAAGAGAAAGGGAAGAGGGGGACATGAGGAATTTAAGTAGTAAAGTAAATAATCCAAATTCCATTAAAAAAATCAAATCATGTCAGTTGAACACTTCTCATCAGTTCCCTTTTCATCTGAGAGAACTCGCTATCTGCTTTAAAGAAGCCCCGATAATTCACAGCAGACACTACATTGCAACCTACATTTTCTTAGCTTGTACAGAGCATCCAATTAGACTAGGTATGCTTTTATCTCCAGGTTTCTCTGTTGTAAGATCAGCTATAAATCTCATTTGTACTGCAGACTCATTAGTCCTCCTTTTATCCCAGTCCTTGCACTGGATAAGCCAAGCAATGTACATGCAAAGTCCATAAGGTTCATCTGGATTCTGCCTGTTAAGCTTCTTTCTACTCCATCACTTCCCAGACATTTTTACAAGAAGATATTTGGAACAAAAAAAAAAGTCTACTGCTGACAACAATTACCGTCATACAAAAATTTACTAAACATATTGGAAACATAGGGGTATATGCTGTAAGGCATTTACTGAAAAAGGTGGAGAAACTCTCTTTCGAGTGGAAAAAGAAACAGCTGAAAGCAGCATGTTCTTCTGAGAGAACAGTAAAAGCGTAGTGCCCCTAGTCAACGAAATTACGCTACACCCTCTTATGGAGAGGACATATGTAACACAACCAGTAGCCCCTGATGATTATTTCTTCCTCTCCACCCTCATGCTTATGCAGACGTAGTGACAGACACCTGAGGAGGCCTCATGAGACCTTCCAAATCTCACTGTAACAACCCTGAGATGTGTGGACATGCCACCCTCTGCACTACAAAAGTATCCTTCCCCGGTTACTCTGTGAGACCACCAAACATGTCAGCAGAATAAAGTGTTTCCATTTGCCAGGATGACTGTTTTCCTTGAAGGAAGCCCAGAGCAGGTGTTGTCTTCAAATGGAGGCCCCCTGTGTTTACAAGTGCAGGTTTGATACCAGCAACACTTTCTCTTCTGTATATCAACAGCTCTTTCCACTGCAAACAAAGCATTTGAAGGGGAAAGTTCCCCCAAAGATTTTGATTTTTCGCACTCAGACCAGCCTTCAGAAAGGACAGACAGCATAGTGCTGTATAAATCTGTTGGCTGACATGAAGAAAAATAAAACCTATTTTATAGTAGGTATTTAGAAAAGGTTCAACAGAGATATTTACAGTTTCATTTTTGCTCACACGAACAAACACTGCTTTCTACTCATGTCTTCCTCGTAACACTGGGAACCCATGGCCTTCTTCCCTTGTGAATTCTGCAATCACTGCCCAGCACACAAATGCCTCTATGCTGTTTGCTCAGTTTTTCGTATCCAAACAAAGCTGGTGACAATATCCTGTCTGCTTTCCAGAGATCAGAGAACAAGGCATTACTTCCCCTGGACATGTCCCACTTCCTACTGCCTTAGCAGGAATCCTCAAGAAGGGTGAACTATCCCTAGTCACCTATGTTCATTTTCTGATCTGCAGTGAAAAGCAGTGACACAATCACCTCATACTCTAGGCTTCAACTGAGATCAGTTAAATAGGCCCAAGGCTCTTATTTCATAGTTATATGGCAATGTTAGCCTGTCTAAAACACATTGACTCTAAATCCAGTCATTTCACAGGAACACTGAGACTATCACTTGTAGAAGATACAATGAATTAAGATCCTTCAGTGTCATAATAAGCAGAGGTGTTTAGATGCACATTAGAATAAAACTTCCAGAAGGGAAAAGACATTTGAAGAAGATAATCTATATGGACCATTAAAAAGCTCTATGCTTTGTGCATTTAGCAGCAAAGCATAAAAACATCTCTGCATAAACAAAAGGAAGAGATCGAGAAAATCACATTTATTTGCATATGTATTTAGACTAATGAAATGAACAACTCTTGCTCAGCACACTTCTAGCCTGGTACTCCAGCTGGAGTTACATGGATCGCTGAAGCTAAAGGAAAGGTTTTCCTTGGCTTCACTGAGCCCTGGAATTTTGACCAAAAAAAATATTACTCTGAAAAATAAGAGTGTATGGCATTATTATTCTCACACATACAACTGAATCATTACTGTTTACTTACCAAAATCCTGAGAATCTCTTCTTGCACCTGGCTGTTTAAATGGATGTACCACTTTTATCTCCGCTGGTGGAAAAAATGATAGCTTCAGGCTAATTGTGACTACAACTTTTCCAGTATACTTATTGACTCTCCATATCATACCAGATTTCAACTCTGAATAGTACAGGTGCTCAGCAAAGAGAGACATACCAAGCAACTGATGCCTACAACAAAAAGAAGATAACACAAAGTGATGTGTTACCTGATCCCTACACATTCATACATTTTCTAAGCATCTAGTTCAGTTCAGTTCACTGTAAACAACCTTTCTTTGTATTCTTATATATATATTATATCCTGTATATATGAGAATCAGATGAGGTGCCAGAGACATTCCCAAATAATCCAGCACCCAGCCTCCTGCAAGAAATAGATGCAAAATGGATAACCTGCGTTTCTCACAGCTTATATGAGCTGTTGTTCAAGACTGACTCAACTGACAGAGAACACCTAGTTATCACCCTGCTTCTGGTTAACTCAGCAACTAAAATGGAAACATGCTTTGTTGAAGAATGTAAGTCAGGTAAGTTCCCTCATTCCCAATTTCTAGTGCCTCTCTCATACTTCTGACTGTCTCAGGAAGTCAGGGGGGAGATGGAAGGGTAGGGATAGGGCTGCTTCTCCTTTTGCAGGTATGTAACTTCCATTCACTGGTGAGTTATAGCAGCCAGCAGGGA